TTCTGGTGCTTGTGGACCCTGTGGGCCAGCCACTAGACGACACATTCCAGGAGCTTCTTTTTGCACAGCATCCCGTTCTCAATGTGTTTGGCCAAATCACGTGCCTACGTGCCCAACTCGTTTCGCTTGCAACTACAGACTCTGACTAGGTACCTGACTTATTGGGCTCATACCACTGTTGATCGCACTTGATATTGCTATCGAAGTTGTCCTTGCTGCACATCTAGAGCGCATATCTTTACTGCAATATACGATATAAAGACGGTTTCAACGTGGTCAAACGGATAACCTGGCCAACAGCATCATGCCATGGGCGAACGGTACGTGCCCGGGCCAAAATTATCACGTGACAAATCGCAAGGGACAATGATGCACGTTGTCCAATCAGCACACCTCGGCGGATGACGGAGCTTCGAGCTCCAAGCTGCTTTGCCTGCTAAGTAATTAGTGACGTTTCTGGCGGTTGTGGCCTGGTCCTCGCCTGGCCAGGCCCAGAAAGTGGGGTGCTTTAGGCGAGTAGTCTCACAGTGCGTTGTGTCTTCACCAGCGTGCGCCTAACTCACACCACCCCTCCAGCTCTGCTTTGTGGTCTTGCTTTTGCACTTTGGCCCTGCCGCCACAAACCCAGTCTAAGCCGCATATCCAATCACGCGTGGTTTTCTTTGCTTCCAGCCTATTTACTTGACGGACTCCCTCCTCAATCCTTTCTCTCTCCACAAACCTCCCTCTTTTCCCTCTCGATTACCACCAACGCACAGCAACCTCACCCACACCCGCCTACCTCTACTAAAATGCTTCGCCAATTCACCGCTGCTGGCCGCCCGGCGACTCTGCGCACCACTGCCCGGACCTTTGCCACAAGCGCCATTCGTATGGGCGAGGGCGACACCGGCGCACCGCGCCCTACTGCGTAAGCTTCCCCAGATGCTGGACAGAGAGAGAGAGACAGACAGAGAGAGAAAGAGAGAGAGAGAGGAGGAGAGAGAGAGAGGAGGAGAGAGAGAGAGGGAGAGAGAGAGACAGCTAACACCGTATTAGCGATGCCTTCACCCGCCGCGAGAAGGCCGCTGAAGACTACGCCATCCGCCAGCGTGAGAAGGAGAAGCTCCTGCAGCTGAGACAGAAGCTCAAGGAGCAGCAGGCCCACCTGGACCAGCTCGCCCAGCACATGTACGTCGAAGGATGACCTGGCGTGAGGCGTGGGTGTTTTGTTGTCGGACTCAATTTGCTAACTCTGCCAACAGCGACGAGCTCACCCGTGAGCAGGGCGGCGAGAAGAACTAAGTATTCAAACGTACAGAAATTTCGGATCTGATGATGGCGGCGCACGACACGAAGTAACCTCGAATGTAGCACAAAACAACGGGCTTTGGAAGCCTGAGTTCTGGAGTTGGATTTGCGGGGCGCCAGAGCAACGAGGGTTTTGTGAAAGGAACCACTGTTGTCGAAGAGGAGCCGTCGAGTACATACAGGAACACATAACAAAATGGGGGCCCATTGGGGTCTATTCCGTCGCCAAAAAGACAACCACTCAGCTCACGTTGTTTCCCTTCAATTGCGTTGTCTACCTGTTTTCGTGAAATCCTGTCTTTAAAAGCGCGGCATCAAACTGTCAACATCGTAAGCCCCAAGTGTAAAATCAAGAAAATCTACCGTATTTTGCGCACTACTCTCCATCCACCTGGACATATTGTACAGTAAACGCATCAAGACTCAAAAATTGTACCAAATGCAAAACAGAAGAAAAAAAAGTGAACAAAAATATCAACCGTGATCCGCGTACATAAGCAAGGCTGCCAATCCAACAAAACAAGGCAGGCCACTAATTTTGCAATTCCATGCTTTCTTTCCTCCCGATGTTTCTCCAAACGCATCTTACTTTCAATTATCGGCTTTACCGCCGGGCCATGTACGAGCGGTAGAAGCTCTCGGCTACGTCGTTCTCCAGTCCGCTGTGCGACCCGCCGAGGTTGGCCTCTGTCTTCTTGGCCGCCGCGACCTTGGCCTGCAGGGCCGCTGCATTGGTGTCGATCCACTGCAGCTGGCTCAAGTGGCCGTTGAGCACCCGTACAATTTGGCTCAGCTGGCGAGTTGTTAGCATTTTTGTAGGTTCTGACACGTTTGCCAAAAAATAAATGGAACACTCACAGGATCGTCCGTCTTGCCCGTCTTGCTCAGGCTACCCGAAATGTCGTTGATCTCCTTGATCATCTTGGTCATGTCCTTGCTCATTTCGTCCATGCGGTCAATCAGCCGCTCCGCCAGCTTGTACGTCCGCTCGCGCTCCTGGTCAGGGCCCGTGAGCTGCTCGCCTGGCCCGCTCTGCCGGCTGAGCAGCTCCTCGGCCTCGCGCTCGTACCGGTCCAGCCATGCCGCTAGCTCGTCCTGCTGGCTTTCCACCGACTGCAGCTGCCTGTCAATCTCGTTGCTGGCACGCTCCGCCTCGTATGTCTCGAGGTACAACTTTTGAATTTTCTCGCCGTTCTCCACGAGCTTCTGGTCCCATTCCTTGACGCGCGACGCCTGGCCCTGGAACTCTTTTTGGTACTTGTCCAAGTCAGTCGCCCAGCGACCAATAATCTCGTCCATGGTGCGGTTCTTTAACCGTGCCAGCTGTGAGGTAGGTCCCGTGGTGGAGCTGCCAAGGGCTGTGGTTGATGGAGTGGAAGCGGCGGCGCCGGAAGCGCCGGAGGCTGTCGCGGTAGTGCCGGTCACAGTCGCAGGCGCAGTCGTCGTAGTTGAAGCAGCGGCGGGTGCAGCGGTAGAAGCGTCCGGCTTTGCGCCGAAGAGACCACCGCCAGTCGTAGCCGCGGCAGCAGGAGCAGTAGTTGATGCCGGAGTGGTTGTAGCAGTCGCGCCGCCGCCAAACAGCCCGCCAGACGCCGCGGCAGGAGCCGTTGTAGTGGCAGGTGTGGCAGCTGGCTTAGCGCCAAAAAGCGATGGCGTCGAAGCAGCTGGCGCAGCTGTTGAAGTAGTGGTGGGGGTTGCTGTAGCAGTAGAGGCACCGCTGCCAAGGCCGAACAGACCACCGGCTGCAGGAGCCGTAGAGGTCGTGGTCGTGGCAGAGCCACCGCCAAAGAGGCCGCCGGCAGCGGCAGGAGCGGAAGTGGTGGCAGGGGTCGATGTCGTACCACCACCAAACAGACCACCAGACGGCGCAGCGGCAGTTGTAGTTGCAGGTGCAGCAGCACCAAACAGAGAACCGCCCGTGCTGGCCGTGGTAGCCGGGGTAGTCGACGCAGCTGCCGGCTTGGCGCCGAAGAGCGAGGGAGTTGCCGCGGACGTGGTCGTGGCTGGCTGTGCTGTGCTCGTTGTAGAAGGGAACAAGCTACTGGGCTTTGCGGCCTGGGTTGTGGCAGTGCCGCCAAACAAGCTACCTGAAGGGGCACTAGTAGTACCGGCAGCAGCCGCAGGCGCTGCGGGCGTGCTACCAAACAGCGATGTAGATGCAGGCTTTGTTGAAACCGGCGGTGCCCCGGCGGGGGTGGTCGACCCCAGTCCGCTAAATAAGGGCTTCGCAGGTGTAGCAGAGCCGGCTCCAGAAAACAGGCCGCCGCCCAGGCCGCCAGCAGTTGTAGTAGCAGTTGTGCCAGCGGCTGCCGGCGCGGAGGAGGCTGCAGTGCCAAAGCCACCGAAGCTTGGCGTTGTCGTGCTCGATGGAGCACTGGTAGCAGGTGTGGCACCGAAAAGACTCTTGGGTGCAGCGGTACCAGCCGTGGCCGGCGTAGCAGAGCCAAAGCTCAGGCCGGTCGTGGCAGGCTTTGCTGCTGCGGTACCTCCGCCAAAGAGACCACCCGAGCTGGTCGTGGTGGAGCCAGCAGTGGGCGAGGAGCCAAACAGACCTCCGCCACCAGTTGAAGTACCGCCAAAGAGCGATGTGCCGGTAGCTGGCTTTGCTGTCGAAGCAGCGCCGCCGAAGAGACCGCCGCCAGACGTAGCAGGCTGTGAGGATGCCGCGGGGGCAGCGCTGGTTCCCGCACTACCGAAAGAGAACGAAGGGGTGCCGCTCGTGGTGCCCGCCCCAGAAGCACCGAACAGTGATGGCGCCGTCGTCGCGGGCGTCGACGAGCCGCCCGCCGCCGAAGAACCGCCGAAACTGAAGGACATGGTTGGGGATGGTAGAAGGTAGCTTATCGTTCGTTCCTCGTTGGGCAATTATCGTAAATGGGCGATCGGTCACCGTCTCTGTCCCAAACTGTTCTTTCACGGGGCTTTTGAGGCGTGCTGGAGAAGGTATCGGGATGATGCTGAAGAGACTGAAAGCTTGAACCGAAGCTGTCAAAAATATCCCCGAGGTTGTGGTAGAATCGCGTCGATGTCGAAGAACGGTTACGAGCTCTATCCAACCAGGATGGGAACACCTCGTTGTTGATAGTCTTGTCGATCAAAGGAGTCCCAAGTAAATGATTTCGAGCTCTCCTGGTGAATGATGTTTGAGATGTTGGAGGTTGGTCGCCGCTGCGAGAGCTTTTGGGACATGAACACCAAAAAATAGGACAATAAAAAACGATTTAACGCGACAACAAGCTCCCTGCTAAGAAGGCCCAATCGCGCACAGGGGGAAGGAACGGCGCCAGAGCCACACTCAACTACTGCCTGTTGCAAGGAGGGCCCCGCTTTTTCTGTTTGCCAGACCGCTTACCTAACTAGTGCGCTATGCCTAGAGGGGCCAGACCACACTCAGGCACCACGACTCTCTCTGAAACTGCCACTCCCAGACTGTCGAGCTCGATCCGACCGTCTCGCAAATCGGTTTCCATTGTATGACACAGTCCTACCGCCCATTTGTCGATATAAGCAACCCTGCCGGTTATACCGCATATCTAGTCATTGCACGAAGGCCGTGACTTAATTTGGCGCAACCTCGCGCCTGTCTCGCCGGTGGCCGACCCATCTCTACCCTCCATTTCGCTACCTGCGTATCTTCGCCCGGCTCTTCTCTCACGCACCGTCGCCGCCCGTTTCAGCCCTTTTTTTCGCCTACCGAGCACACACACACCATGTCCAGCCGACGAAACAGTCTATCGCCTCCGGAGCGCACCCATACGGAGGATCCAGGGGCTCATGATCTGAGTACGTTGGCATGTATAGAGGAGGGGATAGAGGGGGTAGAGGGGAAAGATGAGATAGGCACAGAAAAGCAGCGAACATCCCGCTGACAGAACCACAAAACACAGCAGATTCCGAGTCCGACGACCACTTCTCCGATGCCCACTCGCTTCCCGCCGAGTCGTCCCGGGCCTCGCCTATACCACGGACGCGGGTCGAGAAGATTAGCGACGAGCCCTCGTATGGCGAGGTTCCTGGCACCGATGCCTACCGCCTACGGGAGGGGGACGCTGAACCTGACGAGATTGCCATGATTGCTGATGCAGATGGCGGCGCAAGCGACGGCCTTGCTACTACACACCTGCCGGATCGCCCTAGCACGCCCGGCGGCAAGCCCATTCCCACGACGTTGGTGGAGGAGACGCCCGACGGTGACGGTGCCAAGACGCCCGACGGGAAGAAGCACGAGTCTGATCCCGTGCCGGACTTGGTCGTGAAGGCGGACGGAACACTGAACTTCGCTGGCAATACTGGTACGAATGCCTAGAGGACTTTGGGTTCCTTTTTGTGTCTCACTGTTTCTTGTCACCTACGCACCCCTACTTTCCCTGCCCGTTCGTTTTTGTTTCCCCAGTGCCTGTTTCTCGTTTCTCACACTTACGCTTTCCTGCAATGCTCTATTTCTTGTGTGGCCGTCTTTTTTTATTGACAGTTTTTATTTACCGTAGTTGAAGCACCAATATCATCTCCAGCTTTGAACAGCTCAGACTCTAGTTCTCCCCAAGAGCCGCGTAGTACAGGTACAGCGGCTGCAGCAGACACTGCGGAGGACGCCGAGGAGGACGGTGGGGACGAAAACGAAGACGATGGTTTTGGCGATGACTTTGACGAATTTGAAGAAGGCGGTGGGGACGACGAGGACTTTGGAGAATTTGATGACGGCTTTCAAGAACCGCCTCCAGCAGCAGCAGCACCACCACTACCAACACAAGCTCCAGCACAGCCTGCGCAATCTGCACCACCAGCATTACCGTTTCCCATTCCCGACTTCGAGGAGCTCGATGCAGACGACATCCTTAAGACTACCGCTCCCTACTTGAACGGTCTCTTCCAACCAGACGACTCCCTCCCCACCCCGCCACAACTGAGCAACTCGGTTTTCTTGACGCCACGAAGCGCGTCCCTCTGGTCACAGCTTGTGGCGCCACCACCGTTGCAGCCACCGGACTGGATCCGAAGCCGCATCCGGCGCCTGTTTTTGGTTAGCCTGGGCGTGCCCGTCGACCTAGACGAGATTTTGCCTGCTTCCAAACAAAAGAAGCTCATACTGCCGTCGCTTTCTGTCCGCCGCACCGATTCACCGCGTACATCGTCCGACAGTCGGTCGAACACTGGCGCCAAAGACGGGTCTTCCGCGGCTGCTAACAACAGCGTGGCAAGGCTGAAGCAGTCGGGAGCCAACGGGTCCAACTCGAGTGTCGACTCGCAAGGAAAGCCCTCGTCGTCCTCGCGTAAGCGGAAAGGGCCACCACCGCCACCCGACTTGGATCTCGTGGCTGGTCAGCAACTGTGCAGGACGACGGACGAGGCTCTGGACGGGATGACAGACGACGAGCTCAGGGCACATGCACAGCGGCTGGCGTCATTGGAGGTGGCTGCTAATGAGGTGCTAGAGTACTGGACGAAGCGGACCGACGAGAAGATTGGCGACCGCGAAGCGTTTGAGGGCGTGATAGAGAGCCTGGTTGCACACGCCCGGAAGACGCGCAAGTGAGAGAGAGTTGCCGAAAAATAGGATTTCTTTTGACAAGAAAAGTCTGACATGATCCTGGATATATATTTTGAGCGAGCGATACACCACATTAATACAAGGATACTACGAGTACTGTATATCACTATTTGGTCAACCGTACGCCTCAAAGTCTCAAGCTTGCCGTAATGTGGTGTCAAATAACATTCATATGCATATCATCTACACGAGCTAGGAAAGGCGACGAACAGTCGTTGACATCGCTGTACCTCCTGTCGCTCAGCAGCAAAGTATCCCAATAGCAACGCTTTTTTTTGCGCTGCCCTTCTACTATATGTTTGCTTCGTTTTATTTTGCGTTAATTCCCTATGCACTGTCCACTCTACCGGTTTTCATGTTCCTCGGCCCAACGTCTTCCTTACGGCATTGTCGGCTCCAGAACGACACCACTGTGATGTGTTAGCATGCCTGCATAGAAGGGACAACAAGAGGGAAAGAGGAGAAAGAATACGTACGCAGTGATGGTCGCCCAGCCAATCAGACGCCAGTGCTTGTCGATACGCCGGGACAGCGCAACCTTCTCGCCGATGTTTGTGCACGTCGGGCTCGTCAGCACCAGCTTGGCGGCGTCGTTCTTGATGGCCGCCACCTTGGCACCGGTCGACGTCGAGCCAATGTTGACCATGATGGCCTCGTTCTTCGACAGCTTCTCCACCTTGGCCTGCTTGCCATCGGCCGTCCGCACACCGAGCAGCCGCCGCAGCAGGTAGAAGTTGACCTCGATCTCGCTGTAGATGTCGGGCAGGCGACCCTTGAGACCCAGCACGAAGCCGACAAGACGATCCGCACGGCACAGCGTGGGGTCGATGTGGGTTCCGACACCAATCAGGCCACCAGGCACGGCGTACTTGAGGTCGTTGGACTCGGAGTTGAGCGACACGATGCGGCTGAAGATGGGCGTGCAGTTGAGGTTGCCGGCATCGTCACGGGTGACCAGACCGGGGCGGATTTCAATCTCGTCGCCGAGCTTGAGCACGCCATGCAGGATACTGCCGCCGGCAACACCGCCCTTGAGGTCGTCGACCTCGGAACCGGGCTTGTTGACATCAAACGAGCGGATGACAATCATCTGCGGGTCCATGGTGAAATCACGCGGTGGGACGGGGATGTTGTTGACGAGGTTGTCCAGCACGGCGTCAATGTTGATTTTGAGCTGGGCGGAGATGGGCACAATGGGCGACTTGGCGGCGACGGTGCCACGGATGAACTTGAGGATCGACTCGTGGTGCTGCTGGGCCGTCTCCTCGCGCATCAGATCGACCTTGTTCTGCAGGATAATGACCTTGTCGAGCTTCATGATCTGGATAGCAGCCAGGTGCTCCGACGTCTGGGGCTGCGGGCAGGCTTCGTTGCCGGCAATCAGCAGCAGGGCGGCGTCCATGACGGCGGCGCCCGACAACATGGTGCTCATCAGAATATCGTGACCGGGGCAATCGACAAACGACACGTGGCGCAGCAGGCGGTAGGTGCCGGAGCAGCCCTCGCGCTCGCACGGCGGGTCAACCTCCTTGTCACTCTTGTAGCTGCGGTAGCACGTTGGCCGCGGGCACTCCTGGTTGTCGCACTTGTAGATCTTGGCGTTTGCGTAGCCCAGCTTGATGGTAATGTTGCGAATCAGCTCGTTCTTGAAACGAATGGTCTGCACACCCGAAATCGCCTTGACGACAGTCGACTTGCCGTGCGCCACATGGCCGATGGTGCCGACGTTGACGGTGGCCTGCCGTGCAATGATCTCGGGCGTCAGGGGAGATAGAGTGCTGACGTCCAGGTCCTTGGGGTCGGTCTGTGGTGGCAGGTACGGCTTGGCGACGGTCGGGTCGGGGACGGGGGCATGCGACTTCTTCAGGGCCGACTTGAGAGGCTTCTCGTCGATCTCGTTGTCGGACGCATCCTGAGGATCAAGGGCGGGGGAGCCGGGGCCTGAGTCGGAGTCCGACTCCACCTCGGGATCGTATTTGTCGCCGTTGGACGCCATGTTCGCGGTTCAATGTGATATTGTGTGATGCGAGGGAGGTGATGTTGAATTGATGTACGGGGGGGTATATCGTTTTATGGGGCTAGAGGGAGATGTTAGGAAAAGGGTTCAGACAAGGTATTTCAAAATAAGAAACCAGCAGTGGGACAGCTGAACGTACCGGAAATCGCGAATGTATTGTCCAGACCAGTGGGCAGGCGAGGCTACGTGGATATGAGGGGGTCGTCGTGATAGTTCGTTAGCCGTGTTTTATTTTTTTGCCCATAGCAAGGTTAAAAATTCGTGCGCAGCGCGAAGATGGTGGGGTTTGGCGGACGTCGAGATGTGACTCGACGCTAGTCCTCTTAGGGCCTGATAAGATAAGACTTGGCTGTGGCAATGGGACGGCGAAGGAATGGAAGCTTCCAACATATTGACGACGGACAATGGCGAATTCTGTTTCATTATGTGTCGAGCAACGGCTTCTGGTGTTTCCTTCCAAATTTCCCTTGCCTTTTGTTTTTATGATAAATTGTTTCGCAAGCCACGGGCATCGAGAGTAACCGATTTGCTTGTCATATTAAGACACGTGACTTTAATACACTTGTATGATACACATACTATCCGCAGGCTTTATTACATGTTGCGACTTACTCTAACTTTCAAAACGCATTGTCGTGTTTGCACAATGTACGCTCAATCGCCACGAGTTCTCTTGCTGACGAGCCTCTGAGTTCTAATTTTGACTAAATATACTGACCAATTACGCATGGCTTGATCTCTGAAAGAATATAGAACAGAAGTTGCGAATTACAACTCTCTTCAAATAGATATTGAAAGTTTCGAGGCAAGAATATGAACATATGATCAGACAATGACGGCAGCATGTATGCCGACCTAAAAAGAAGAGTAAACGAGAGACGAGCGGGTGATGGAAGGTAAGCTGCAGCATCTTTGACCTTTTGAAACAAGATCCTTCATTCCGATCCATGGAAGGAAAGAACAATGTCGCTCAAAAGGAAAAGATCAGGAGTACTAACTCAACAAGGTCTTTACCGTTCCCATGTTGTAAAAAATGCAGTTAAGTCAACCATGAGTGGCGATCCTGAGCCCGCCCGCTTTGTGACACCGTGCTAGATTAGGTCCCGTAAAGTGATAATTTGTGTATTCGAGGTTCGAGCGTACAGCAAAGGCTAAAAATAAATACCACAGTCTGTGTGTAAAGAACAAGGCAGTGGTTACGGTGTAAGTGGTCGTGAGGATCGCGAATCACACAAATGTTTCACGGAAATATAGGTTGTCTGGAACGCACTTTCCATCGCTGTTAACGCGTCCAAAAGGGGTACAGCAAGACGACACGGGAAGTGTGCGTGCTGGGATGCGCCTGCCGTGCCGGGTTCCTGTAAGCGCTTTGATATCGGCTTGACGGCAGGAGCGACAGTGAAAAATTACAGAGAGAATCAACATAAGGGAAAGAGCTAACAAGAGCATTTGCAACGCTTGTGCGCACATCTACGCAATAATCCGTTTCCAGGCTTTCCCGTTGCCTCACCTCGGCAACATTCTTCCAAAGTGACCGCTCAGAAACAGAGAAAACACTTTTATCCATCCCCGGTTGACCGCCGACTCTATAGCTCTCGAACAGGAGGATCATATCGCACGCGGCCTATTCTCACTTTCCAGAGGCGGGATATCCCATCCTCTGATCACCCGTCGGCGTACCAGACACCAGGCGCACCCTCCAACGCGCACTTTTGGTGTAATCTATCTGGCGCTGGATATCGCCTGTTATTTCTTTCCGCCGGCACAATTCGCACTTCGCAATCCTATATAGAATTGATTCGACAAGCCGATGCACGGTATTCACGCCTCTGACGTGACAGAGCTCGGGCAACACAACAGCCACAGGAGCACTGAAGGTAATACCGGCTATGATTCTTCACGGCGGATGATCTATCAGGTGATTGGGCCCTGAGGTGACCAGACCAACCACCTTCACACATAGCTGAACCCCAAAAGTCGCCGCTGGAGGACTGAGCGCATCGGCTATCACACCCTTGGTGACGCGAGGGAGGTTGGCAGGACTAAAAAAAGACTCACATTGGGGGGATGCGAATTTCGAGGGACTCTGACTCGAGTACAACATATTGCAAGCACACTTGTGAGCGTCAGGCGACAAAAATGATCCCGCTATTGCAATACAGGAAGCACTCGACACTCTGCCCTCTTGCAGACCCTCAAACGCTCATGTTCGTTCATATTGCCGTCACTAGCACTAATGCGGCCCGTCTCAGGCCCGGAACATTCGTTGCGTCGACAAGCGGCGCGAAGAGGCGGCGTGACGAAAAGTCAGCAAGAAACTGACCAGAATGGGCCTTGATGAACAAATGGAGGAACAATGGAGACAAAAGACATGATTCGCACTGGCCAACTCCGGTGCGACTTGCCGCCCACGCTGCACGATGGCTGGGTGCTCGTCACATCAACTGCACGGCTCATTGGCTGTCACCTTTCTACTTCCGGTCCCTTGCTATGCACGGCACACCTATCAGAGCGTCGAGATCGCAGCTGGGATGTGTGGATCCCTGCAACGGCAAGACAATGCGACCAAAGAAGCAACAGCGAATAAGGGTAGGGCCGGGGGTTAGTTCACGGCTCGCCCAACCACAATGCTGCATTGGCCGCCGACCTTCATCGTGCCCCACATCCCTTGTCCACCCTCCGACCGCACATCACCGTCCTCTTCTTCCCGCTCGAATTTGCGCGATGTTGTTCGACTACAGCGAGTGGAACATCATCTCGGTTTCTGTTAACTTTTCTGTTTTTGGCTCCCTGGAGCTGGAAACTGACAGAGAAGTGACCGTGATATTAAGCAGTTCGATACTGGCTGGCCAGGAGGGTGTAGACTTTCCCTTTACCGCCTTGTCAAACACGAGACGTGTCTAGCTCCGCAGCAAATGGGCAAGACAAAGTCAAGAGAACTATGGCGGGCGCCAAGACCCTTGCGAGCACGTATCACCCCCAATATCACCCTGCACCATGCGAGTGTGTTCTGCAAAGGCTCTGTATGTTTCTTGCTGCAAACTCTTCGAGAACGATGCGGGCACCTCCCGTCTTCTTTGGTGCATTGGGCTGACGGGCGATTGAGACAATACACTTAGAGAAGCAGGTTGTATGGTCCCGTCTTTTCCTCCTCACGCATGCGCACTGACGGGCTCCATGTGCGAGTCGGTTGGGTGCAAGATGGAAGCCCATCCTTCACATTGATGAGGACATTGCCAAATATGGCAGAGATCCTGCTTGAGAAACAAGTGTTTCTTCCTTTTCGTGTTTCCTTTTGTTTCTTACCTCGCCCACCTTCTTTTCCTTTTTCGAAATCCATGATATTTTACTTCCCCCCCCTCGTATTTTAAACTTTTGCGTCTTTTCTCCTTGTAGGTTTTCTTTGATCATTTCCCCTCTTTGCACAAGATTGGAACATCTCAGACAAACACAACGGAGATCAGGATCCATTCACATACTCCCTCTCATCTCTCCTCGCGCCGGCCAGGCCACACTGGCCACTCTGTAGACGCCCACGACCTCGATCTGGCGCCACTGCATACAAGACCTGCTTCAGAGAGCGGGCGTCTAAATCCGTCAAGATCACGACTGATTCTCATTGGCAAGCTCAGGACGGCCGCGCCCTATCAGCTTCGCAACGACGACTCTCGAAAATTCACTAATACGATACACCATCTACCCTGGTCGCACGTTGGCAAAAAAGTATGTACGACAACTTTCCTCCACCTTTCCCCCCTCCCGTTTTACTACCCGCCACACTACCCTACATCGCTCTCTTCGTCCCCTCCGTCCTGCTTACCATCCTATGTCGAGGGACTGGGCGGCAACATAATTCATAATAGCCTGCCCTCCCAGCTGGTCGGAGACGATTTGATCTCTTTTTCTTTTCTCCTTTCCTTCGTCAGCTGGCCTCTGTTGGAATTTCTCATTTCTCATTTTATATAACCTGTGCTTTGACCAAACTGTGTTTGCTCTCATCCACAACCTGTTCGCATAATACGAGAGGTGCATCTTTCTCTCTCTCTGTATTGTCGGCTTCAACGTCACATTTCTCTTCGTTTACATCTGTTCCTCTTGCAACACATACTCAGAGTCGATCTTACAAGAAAGCACAAACCTACTTACACAACAAGTCCAGTCTCATCATGTTCTCCGATGAGAAGAAGCGGCCGTCGGCGCTCAAACTGAGCTCCCGGCCTTCTTCCAGTGGCTCTTCCACCGAGTCTCTCAAACAACCGCGGACACCACGCTTCGCCGAGGCCACGACTGTTCACTCGCCCGTCCACGGAAAGTCGCCCTTTGCCGATCCCGAGAAGGACGACAACAGCTCCCAGCCTGGCTTCGTCGGCTTCGGATACATTGGAAAGGGCGCAGACGACGATGTTCCCATGGCACCCCGTTCACCCCTCAAGAGTGCCATGAAGGTGCCGGGCACGCCTGGCCGCCGCTTTGACAATCCCCTGAGCCCGACGTTCCGGGAAGAGCAAATCCTGGAAAAGCAAGAGTCTTTGACTGACAAGGAGCAGGCTCGCGACCTGGTACGTTTTGCGACCTTACTCTGCTCCCCCAAACATATGGACATGCTCAAGAAATTTTACTTACTGACCGCCCAACCAGAAAATCAAAACGCGTGTCCGGATGGCAAAGTTTGCCCTCCGTGGTGTCAACTTTAGCTGCAGTTTGATCGTTCTGTCCATGCTCTCGGCCTCCTTCTCCATTTTCAACGCCACGAGAAGTCTCCCGGCACAAAGCAACTTCCCGCCGTGGGCCACCAACACCAAGTCGTGGCCGCAGAAGGTCGTGCTTGGTGCCTCTATTGTCTCCCTGACAATCTCGGTCATTGTCTTTATTGGCTACTGCCGTGGTGGCCACCGCCGCGCTGAGAAGGTCTCTGTCTACTACACACTCTTCGCTGTCGGCTGGTTCATTGTCAGCTTGGGCATGTGGGCTGCCGCCGCCGGCGTCCTCCAGTTCTCGCGCAACAACAGCAACAATCAGGACATGTGGGGCTGGTCTTGCGTACAGAACCAGCGCTCGCAGGTGTTCTCGGACAAGGTGGATTACGCCCTCGTCTGTCGCCTGCAGAGCTGGTCGTTGATCTGCATCATCATCGAAATCGTCGTCGAGGTCATTAGCATCACGCTCTACAGCGTCGTCTTCTACCGCTACTACTCGAAGCGCAAGCTTCACAAGTCCATGGACATGCGCGACAAGGCCCGCTCCGATCTGTACCTGGCCCAGCTGCGCACACAGTCGGCCCCCAACACGCCTGGCTTCGGCCCCAAGTCCCCGTCGTTCTCGCAGTACGCCTTGTCGCCCCGCTTCCCGCCACAGGCCTACCGCTCGCTCGGCGACGTCGAAGAGGAAGACGCCACGCCCTTCACACCGGGCGGCCGTAATCTGGTCGAGCCCAAGTCGGCTTTCGCTGCCCGGTCTGGCCTGTCGGCGGGTTCGTCTCCGTCCGGCTCATCCTTCAAGCTGCAGGCACCGCCGCAAAAGGCGCCCTCAGCCACCCCCAAGATGAACGGCGTTGGGTTCAGCGCACCTGCGCCCATGCCCGCACCTCGGCCATCGCGGTCGCACTCCTCCAACTCATCACGGTCGAGCTCGTCCATGTCGTCCCGGGCATCACCGACGCCGCCGCCAGGGAACGCGGAGAACGTCAACCAGCACGCACCTGTGGCTCCTGGTGAGGTGCAGTACGCAGCCGTGCCGATCCCCGGAGCGTACGCCGGCGCTGCCCTCAAGAGCCCAAGGTACTAAAAAAGAAAACAAATAAATACGACACAAAACACGCGAAAAAAGACCTTTTTTGATTTGACACACTCTTCTTCTTCTTCTTATTCACTCTCTACGTTTTTATTACTCCTTTTATTAGCACAAGCTGCTCCCTTTTCTGTCTTTGGTTTCCCCTTTCTTATGTTTATCTTTTCTCGCTATTGATCTTGATTTGGCCCCCTTTATTTGTACTGGTCGCGTCTGTACAGCAGGTACAAGCCAAGGGGCGATATTATACCACTGCGGCGTTCTTCTTTCTATTGTTGTTTCCGGGGTGTGAACGTGTACGAGAGACAAGTAAGCGATAAGTTTTAGGTTTTTGTAAAGATCGACGACTATTCCAATTAATGCAAGCAGGAACATTTCTGATACTATTTGCTCAAATACAATTCCAACATAACATACTCCCTGTCCCGATGATGCAAAGTGACCAAGAACAAGAGTGAAGTCTCAGCCGCATGCCATAAACCTCGAAACTGCCATGAGAACGGCTGGGCTGCCTCCCTGCCCGCCACCCAACCACAGTTGTATCGACCCGCCTGTCTGTTCGTGGTCGTTACGTGTTATGAGATGTGCGTTGTAAGTCGGCCTGCACATCTGAGGCCTCGTGGGTTTGCGACAACGGAGACCGACCACACCGGGCGGCTACGTCTCAATGCCCGGAAATAACCCATGACAGGAGGAGAAAACAAGGGGTGCCATAGTCAACAAATGAAATCGAATAAATATGCCGTAGCTGCTGTTGGTTGTAATTCTGTTTTAGCTGGCGTTTTTAGTTTCAGGGGTCGATGGAGCTCAGGAATGCCCTATAATTACATGCTATTAGCGGAGGTCCTGACCAGTCCAAGCCAGTCCTTAACCATTTCACATGAGAACGCGTCGACTCGATGCCCCCTAGTTATCTTGGGACAAAGCTTATTTTCGAGGCGGAAGAAACCAAAGCAATAAGTCCACAAGTCGAAGCCGTTATCAATGCCAGGAAATACCAATGTAAACCTTTCATACTACAACGATCACGCAGCTGGATGGACAGTAGCATAATTATCATAAAGCACACGAGGAAGGAGCTGTTAATTACAATGTGATACCAGGGCGGTGGGCCTGGCTCCTCCTGAAGCCAGAGCTCTGGCGTCTGAAGCTTAATACAGCAAAACAGGCCAAAAAAAGGAGACGGCAGAAAAAAAGGAAGCCAGAGCCAAAAGCTGCCGTCAAAAGCAGGCATTTTTTTTTCGTCAAACAATCACACCCACCCGGCTTTCCAACGTCAATTGCCGTCCAAGGAGCCACCGCAGTCCACGCAGCCGACCAACCCCTCTTTTACTCCTTGAATAATGGCCTCCCTGTTTCCGCGCGCACTTCTGCGCCGGCCGCTGACGGCAGCAGCGCATGCTCTGCCACATGCTGCCACAGCCAGTCGCGCCTCAACGTGCCGCGCGCCAACCACCGCCTCTGCCTCGATTTCCTTGGCTCGCCCTGCTCTGTGTTCGCTGGTTGCGCGTCGCTTCTACTCGGACGGTTCTGACAGCAGCAAGAACAGCGGCATTCCCCCGCCTCCGCCGCCGCCGCCACCGCCGCCACCGCCGCCACCGAAGCCTAGCAACATCAAGTTCTGGCCTTTCCTCGTCGTCATCGCCCTCGGCTCCGGTGGTTACATGCTCCTCGTGGAACAGCGCAACAACAGTGCGTATCTTTCCTCCCCCTACCCCTTCCTATCCGCCTTTCCGCTCTCTGCAAGCCCCATGGAAGCGTGTTGAAGCACCTGGTCTAATCCCAACTCCGCCCGCACAGGCAAGATGGCGGATAAGACGTCGACCGGCAAAGCCCCTGGCGGCGGCCCCCCCAAGCCCACCTTCTCGACCGATGACGTGTCCGTCGTCTTTGTCCTCGGCGGCCCCGGTGCTGGCAAGGGCACCCAGTGCGCCCGTCTCGTCAAGGCCTACGGCTTCACCCACCTGTCCGCCGGTGACCTCCTGCGCGCCGAGCAGGACCGTCCGGGCTCCCAGTTTGGCCAGCTGATCCGCGACTGCATCCGCGACGGCGCCATTGTCCCGCTCGAGGTCACGGTCAAGCTGCTCGAGAATGCCATGCAGGAGACCATTGACACGAAGAAGGGCAAGGAGCACAAGTTTTTGATCGACGGCTTCCCGCGCAAGATGGACCAGGCCGTGGCCTTTGAGGAGGCGGTCTGCCAGGCCAAGCTGGTGCTGTTCTACGACTGCCCCGAGTCGGAGCTGGAGCGCCGCCTGATGGAGCGCGGCAAGACGTCGGGCCGTGCGGACGACAACGCCGCGTCGATCCGCAAGCGTTTCCGGACGTTTGTGGAGACGAGCATGCCCGTCGTGGACGCCTACGAAAAGGAGGGCCGCGTGGTCAAGATTGACGCCACGTCCACACCCGACGCAGTCTTTGCGGCCACCCAGAAGGAGCTGGGCTCGCGCTTGTCCCTGTGAAATGGTGACATACACTGAAGACTGGGCGCCCGCAAAGAGCGGTGTGCCATGCGGGCGGGCATTCCCCTATTCTTTAGATTCCTACATTCCCTTTCCTATTTGATTGCTTTGCTTGGGCGGTATTGCAAATGAAAAAGAAAAACTAGAAAGAAGGCATACGTATCGGGGTAGACGGACTGAAACGGATATCATGCCCAGCACCGTTCCCATATTCTTACATATTTCATTTGTTTTATCAATTTTTAATAACCATTGTTTCTATTGTTGTAGCTTTATTTTCAAGACTCAAGACCCCCGTTCCTTTTTTGGTTGACCCGTAGACCACGCAACAAAAAAAAGTGCCGTCATAAACATGTATCAACTCGTACTGGAACCGTAAAAACCGTCGGTTTCCAAGTCCTGTTCTTTCACGGCCGCGCAGCCTATGCCCCCTCTCTCCTTTTAATGCACGAACAAAAGACCATACTTTTTTCTATCTCGGGAAAAGACTGAAAAAGACGGAGTGAATACGAGACGATAGAGAGGTAGGAAAGAAACAACAAGAAACGCAAAATTATGAATAAACCATGAACGCACAAAGATAGAGCAACGCAGGACACGCGTCGGACGTCACTGACGACAACAAAAGAAAATTAGAAAAAAGACGAGAAAACAATATTATTCCTTAAAACACCTTTTTTTATTGTACTTTGTTAGTCGTCGTTGTCGTTGCGCGGCGGGCGTTGTTGTTGCTGGCGGTTGTTGTACTGCCGTGCGCCGCCACGGCCACGGCCACCACCACCACCGCCCTGGTGGCCGCTGCCGCCCTCGAGGTTGGCGTTGGCCAGCTTGCGCTCCAGCTCCTGGGCCTCGCGCTCCTTGGCCGCTTCGACCTCGGCCTGCTGCCGCCGCAGCACCGTCAGGACGCTGCTCAGGCTGCCGCGCCACTGATCAATGCGCGTGCCCAGCTCGCGCCACTGCTTCTCGCCAAACACACGGTACGTGGTGCGGTGCACCAAGAACACCTGCTGCTGCTGCGACAGCTTGCCCTCGACGAGCCCGGCACGGATCACGTCAATGGCCCACACCTCGACGTCCTCGACAGGCACCTGCAGCGCCTTGGCGATGCGGGCGTACTCGATCTGGCGGCTCTGCGTGCTGGCCGCCAAGCTCGTAAACGTCAGGAGGCGCATCTTGCGCTGCAGCTTGTCGCCGTCCAGGTTCTGCGCCTCCACCCAGCCCTCGTGCTCCTCGCAAAAGTCGTGGTAGTCCTCCAGGTCCTGCTCGGCGAAGATGTCGAGCAGCTGCGCGTAGACGGCGCTCTTGTTGGAGTCGGCCAGCGCCTGCACGGTGGGGAGCGCGCGCAGATCCTGGAAGTCGTAGTGCGTGTTGGACACCAGCGCGGTGCGGACGGCGCGCACAGACAGCTGCTCCGCCTCCTCCGACTTGACCTCGCTGTCGTCCGAGGCGTCAAATGTCCGCAGCACCTTGAGCAGGTGCTGGTAGGATTCCCTATTCTTGTCAGCTCTGCATAGCCGAAACAGCCAGGTACATAAACAGCGTGCGGAAGGAATGGGGGCGGGAAAACATACTCAGCCTCGCCTTGCTCAGCGGCAAAGGCCACAATCTCCAGATACAGCTTGCGCTGCGCCTCCTCGCTGACGTCCCAGTCCACCAGCCACGAAGGCAGCTGCGGCAGCGTCGACCGGATGTTGTCGTACAAGCCGTGCGTGCGCACAAAGCGCAGGATGGTCATGAAGACATTGTAGCGCAAGGCGTTGTTGGGGGCCAGCAGGTTGAAGACGGCCTGCAGGGCGTTGAGGGCCAGGCCCACGCCGTTGACGGGCGAGCTGGTCACGGGCTTGCTGAGATTCTGGCAGATGGTGCGCAGGTACGGGCTAGGGTCCTTGGACTCGTTGATGGCGAGGTGGATCAGCAGGTTGTAGGTGCCGGTGAAGTCCTTCTCGGGCGCCGCATTGAGCGCGCTCGACGCCTCGACGACGGCCGCGAGGGCCTCCTCGTTCTTGTCCTTGGCGACGAGCGCAACAACGGACTCGCTGATCTGCAGGTAGTCGGCCAGCTCCTGGACGAGCTCGCCGAACGTGCCGTCGACGAAGACGAGGCGCGGGCGGATCGGGGTGGCGGGAGCCGAAGATGTAGTCGGGGCAGCCATACTGGGTGACGGCAAACGTAGAGGTGAGGGGGAGTGCAACGTCGGCTGATATGGCAAGGGTACCGGCGAGGGTATAGGCACCGGTGCTGGCGATGACCAGGGGGACGGTGACGGTGACGGCTGAAGGTGGTGGAAACCGTTTGTGGGCGGCACGGGCGAGGTGGGCTCAGAAGGTTCGTCGTGTACCCACGGTAAACGGACGATACCGTTTACAATTTCGATCCGGGGCGTACTGTTCAGGGAGACGGCTTGCGATTCGATTTCGAGCCCAAAGAGATCTCCGTCACTGGCGTTATCTTGGATCCGTTGTCGGGCGCGACGTGCTTCTCTCTCCTACAGATCTGTAGACGGCGAAGACATGGACAATGGAGGTATGTCGAAAGGATGGTAAAAACGGCGAATAGCGTGGAAAAGAATGCAGTCGTAGCGCTGCTGGTGTATCGTTGGCGACGGGGTGGTGGACGGGGACAACGGGGCTCAACGTTTTGGGTGGTGGTTCAATGTGAATTTTCCCTCCCCTTTGGTGATTTTTTTGCCAGTCCGGCCGTCCTATTCGCCCGCACAATACCCCTCCACTTTATTTTGCTAGAAAACACACACATTGTTGTTGGTATGGCTTGCTGTGGGCTGTCACGTGTGCCCTATTCCTGTATTTTGGCGTGTTTTGACGCTGGCTGGCAGAGGCGGTCAGGGCCTTTGAGTGGCAGAATTCGAATTTTCCAACCCAGAAGTCTGGTGGGGGGTCCTGCCCCTCCTGCAACCAGGAGCTGTAGTTGACGCGTGATATGTCATGTGCTCTTTATTTGTTCTTGAGACGCAATACGACGACTTCGATAATATTCAAAGAAACAGCCAGTTTGAAGCGAGACGAGCTCAGTGTATTTTGTAGCTATTTTCTATTTATTGTCTCTTTGCTATTCGTCGCTGGATTGGGACTGTGCCATCAAACTGGACAGGACCAGTGGCATTAGGCTTGAGACAACACAATCTTATATCTCACTGTTATAAAAGAAAGGTTCTTTGACGGCCTTCAGAGCAATCATAAAAGTAGAATACATTTTGTTTCGTTTTGCCATAAAGAGATGCATAAGCAAAAAATGTTTGAAAAATAGCGGTTTTGATGTTTGCTACTTGGCGGGCGGGCTTCAATTTTTGTTTTCTAGCCATTGGTGATATGATTACGTGTAATACTTCACAATGGTTCATACCCAGGCTCACAGAGATACGCATTATCATTTATACAGTCTATTATACAGACTGAATTGTCTTATTTATTCAAACATGTTCATGGGCAAGATATCTTCACTCTCAGTACCTGGTCACGTGATTGCATTTATTGAGAATTTCATGTCCAATATCTCAAACTACTCGCCTGCAAAACATTATCCAACGCAAAGAACAAATCGCAATAATTTGAGAGCTTTCTAAATTTCACAATCTTAAAAATCTATATTGGCCATCTTTCACAAAAACGCAGCGGCGATGCTTCCCCCTTGCCCGGCGCGTTTCACTACGCGCAAGGCTGCCATCCTCGAGCTCCTCGGACGGCCCGACGACGACTACACCGATGCATCGCCTAAGGGAGCCATTGATGAGGGTATTCGGCCATTGATCAGTGAGATTAATAAGCTGGATGGCTTTGTAACGACGAGTAGTTGTGCTGGCCGCGTGGCTGTTTTTCTTGAGGGCCGGAAGGGAGCAGCACTGCCTATGGATGAGCGAACGGCACCAGCCACGACGGCGCCGGCATCCACAATCGCGTCAGCGGGCGGAAAGGGCGGCGGAGGCAAGTGGCTGTTTGTCTCACACGATCCGTTGGTGAATGGCGTCGCTGCAGACAGCACAAGCCCACCACAACACAGCAACTACAGCGGCACGGACTGGGCCAACGTATTTGGGCTGGAGATAAATGAGGCAGCACTACGGGTAGACGAAAACACTGTCCAGGACGATGTTGAACAAGATGAGGAGCGCCTTGTGCACTTCAAGTTTGAGCCAATGGTAAGTTCAGCCTTCGGATCGCTCAATGTAGAGCCAATTCTAACCTTGCCTCAGATCCTGCATGTCTTAACGGCTTCTCTTGAGCATGCCCAGCTGCTCCTACGCTGTGCATCGGCAGCAGGGTTCCGTGAGAGCGGCGCCGTCAGTATTGTTCCACAGCCTCTTCCATTGGCAGGAAAGAGTACTGTCGGAGCCGGCGAGGAGGAGGACGACAACCCGTCGATGCCCATTGTCGCTGTGAGGTCCATGGGCCTGGCATTGGCCTCAGTAATTGGTATCTGTCGATCCGGCAAGGCACCACACGAGGAATCTGAATCTGCTCACTGCATTGTGCCTCCGAATTATCTAGCCCGTCTGGCACGTGTGGCCGACGAGCGGTTTGCAGTCAACCGGACACGGACGGAGCGGTTCCAGGTCGCTTTGGTGGAAGCAATTCAGAAAGAGGAAAGAGAAGAGTTGGCTTCGAGGACAGGAACGGCGGTATTAAAAAAGAGGGTTGAGAACTGGGAAGACGCAGAGACACGGCGGCTACGCAAAAAGGAAGAAGGACTGCGGCGACAGTCTGCCCTGAAAGAGCAGCAGGCAGAATCGGCGCAAACAGACGGGCAAACAGACGGTACGGAAGACTCATTAGGAGGAGGGCTCTATGATAGCACCGTTCTAACTTGAGCAGAGCAAAGGTTAAGTGAAAAAAAAAAAAAATTACGAATACCAATGATTATTTCTATATGTACACCTGCAAAAGGCTCGGGATATATATCGTACAGCTATGTATTATGACACGTCCCACAGGCCCTTCGCCCATTCTATGCCTTGTTTATTCTCCCTCCTTCCAAAAACGATGGCT